AGCTATATGACATTGTTAAGGAAAGCACATCCATATGAACAGAACAGCCCCTTGGCTTATGGCTTAGCAATACAAGCTTAGAACCATGTTTGGCCAGATTAATGGGTGTATGGCCTATATAATAGATGTGTTATAACCTCAGTTTGGAAAGAGTGCAAATACAAATATGCACAGTACAAAAATCTTGTATTTTGTATGTATATACATTCTAAATATTTACATTTGTACTTCTTTGAAAGGAGTACAAATACAAATATGTACAGTATAAATACATACAATATAGAAAATAGAAGGTTTTACACTCTACATATTTGTATTTATACTCTTTCCAAACAGAGTCTTAATTACATTATTTGTAATGAAAATTAAGATTCAGAATTACTTGGTTGTTTTGAGGAATGCTCATAATCTCCAGTGGTTCAGGCTCCCCTTATAATTACCAATCTTGAATTGGAGCTTGGTTTCAGCAAAATCTTTTTCTCCCTAAAATTATAGGTAACTACAGATTGGTTGGTGGTTTGCAAGCTGGTACAAATTAAGATTGGCCACTGTTAAGTGGTGGTAAAGAATACACTAATTGTAAGCAATAATCCACCACCTAATTGTTTATCCTCTTGGTTTTTATTCAATAGATCACTAGAAGAGATCTATTTATATCAGTGTTTTCAAAACCGGACTAAACTGGATGATCAGACCAAAAAAATCAAAAATCGGTCCATTTTATCTTAAAAGTGTTTTGTTTTTTGGCCAAAAACCGTTGATTTGATCAACAAATTACTAATCCAAGCGGTCGAACAGATGACCTGAACAACGGTTTTTGACGTTTTTTATTTTATTATCATAGTGGGTCATTTGTTCAATCCGAACAATCGAATCATTCGACCCAGGAAGATACCTAATCATGCTAATTATGGTTTATACAATAAGGTAGGGCAATCCAATAATGAGTCCTTATCTGCTCTAGAAGTTAGGGGAACCCCAGAAACTTTGGCCAGCCAACAGCTTGGGCTGTCAACAGGACTTTCCCTGCATGATGCGATGGTTCACCCAGCAATACACATTTATAGATACTTCATTCTTTACCAAATCCACTACCTTGGTCTTCAATATTGATGACAATTTTCCCGGTCCCCACCAGGTACCCGGCCTCCCTGAGCTGATGGGGTTGAGGTTGGGGATGGAGACTGCTCCGGTGGGGGAGGAGACGGGGATGAGAGTCAAATCTCTAATCCAATCCCACCCCAAATGCAATATTTTTAAAATATTTTTTACATTTTAAATTTTGAAAGTAATTATGTGTAATTGCAATAATGCCAGTATATATATTGAATAATTTTCAATTTATATGTTATCTTGGTGATTAATGATGTTTGGTGCTAAACCAATTTAGATTAACATTTTTTCTCTCTTTTAAGCAAATCTTTTTTCTCAAAGCAACCTTCTAAATAGAAAAAGAATTCAAGGATTTGGGTCCCTGATGGAGAACCCATCTTCATCAGGAATCAGGGATACAGGATGATTTTTCTCCCTAATGGTAATCGGGTTAGGTATACAGAGTTACTTAAAAATCAGGGTCAAGAATGGAGAGTTTGGTCTCTGCCCATTGCCATTTCTGTGTCTTCAATAAACTAGTTGGATACTCCCAATTTAGAAATTTAGATACATATATCTTTTTAGCATTTTCTCCCCTAATTCTAAGATAACTATTCCGAAGGACAAATCGTCATCATCATCCAAGCTTTATACCAATTATATGGGGTCGGCTAAATAAATCCTGTTTTGGCATTCTGTTATGTCTAATGTCATATGAATTGTTAAATCATGAGCGCCTAAACCATTTCTTACTACTTCTATCCATGTTCTTTTTGGTCTACGTCTAACCCTTTCAACCCCTTCAACTTGTAATACATCCCTTCTACTTACTGGTGAATGGTGATAGATGAATGCATTAAAAACACATGAACACATAATTACAGTCAATATTAGAAAATTATCTAACCATTTATCGGTAATTTCTAAAACTTCTATTACCTTTTAGGTACTTTCAAAATTACCCCCTATATGAAGGTTTTGTAAATCATATATTCCTTGTGTCAAGTTTTCTTATGGTGTCATAAAAGGTAATTTTCAAATGACATAAATGCCTAGCCTATTTGATGTCTCTCATCTATTTTTAATGTGACAAAGATAACCCTAGCACATGCTAACCATTATCTTTCCCCCTCCTACCCTCAAAGAGTGTTCTACAGCTAGTACATTTTGATCTATGTGTATTGATCAATTTATTCTGATAAGACCAAGGTTTTTAAAATTGAATCGGACAATGAACTGTTCAGGGGTCCGGTTTTCGGGTTGAATGATCCGACCGTTCAAATCAAATAGATGGCCTGTTTTAATAAAAAATAAATAACGACAAAATCATTAACCGATTCAAACAATTCGACCACCTGAATTAATGATTTACTGACCAAATCAATGGCTTTTTGCCAAAAAACAATTATGAGGTAAAATGGAACCAGTCAAATGACTGATTCTCAATTTTTACAGTCCGATTTTGAAAACATTGGATAACACTCATATATTCTAAGAACAAAGAAGCAATGATGCACATGAATTTCACTATGGTACGCACAAATCGAAATATTAAACTCAGTTGTCTAATTGTTACAAAGATCTAAATGTTGATCATGACCATCTATATAATGCATCAAAACCTAACATTGATATGTTCTCATGCTTGACAATTTGTCACTTCAACTGGTCCCTCCTTTGTGGGTCTTGGCATTTTGCTCAGTGGTAGAACACCCATTATTTAAGGATATTTTGGGTATATTAATATATGCACATGTCTAAACAGTACATGATATGTGATGGGTAAAGTTGTAGTTTTGCATTTTTCTACTTTCCATTCAATGGTATTTGAGAATATATCTGACAGGGGTTCCTTGGAGGTATCTAAAAAAGTGAGGGCAAGTTATACACATTGTAATTTCCCTCTAGTATTTTAAGTGGGGACACATCCAATGTTGTGTTCTAGTCCTCACAAAATGTGACACATGGCAAATTATTAAGGACCCAAATTTTCATACTGGTCTTTTGGCCCCAAACAAACCCTATTGGCTTTCTCTGTCATATTCTTATCATAAGTACATCTACCCTATATTATTATGCCAAAAACGTGTCTGCTTCCTCACATGCATATATACGAGGGTTTCTCTTTCTCTTTCCTTTTCACTTTTGGGCTGTTAAATTGGGGCCCTTCACATTATGGGGTAGAGGGGGTGGGGAACTTTTAACTGGTGACTTTGATGGAGACATGACAATACAAGGTGGGCTATAGGTAATAAGTAGATTACAATGAAAGAATCCCTTTCAAGTGAATAACCCCATCTTGTTTGGTTGCTAAGAAAACAAGGAAAGAAAAAAGAAATGAAATTATAGAAGAAAAAGAAGAAATAAATAAAAGAAAGATTTTCTTTTAGAGAAAATGAGAATGGTGCCCAATGTTGCTTCCTCTCACTTTCCATTGTTTTGCTCTACTTAGGACAGGAAAGGAAAGGAAGTAAAAGAAATGAAGAATTTACCTCCCTATTTTGGTTCTCTTTGACCAAGAAATCCATATTTTTTTTTTCAGAAGTGATACCCATCTCTCATATGGGTAAGTTATTTTCCCACTTCAAGGAAAAATGTTAACACTTGGATTGGATTAGACAAAATTACCCCTTTCAATAATGGCTTTTTACGGATATATAAAACGATCATTGTCTTATTTACCTGAGAAATAAAAGAACATGAATAAATGCATTTACCCAACAAGTGTTTCCTTGAAAATATTTACCTGGATAAATAACTCCCCAAAAAAATGAATGAGACATTGGTTTTAAAGTGAATTTATTTCAGATTTTCCTGTCCCTTCATCTATGCCTTGCCACTTAGGCTATATTTGGTTTGAAACCAAAAATTGAAGGAATTTTGTGAAAATTCCTTTTAAGAACTTTTCTTAAAGGAATTGAGTTCACACTTGGAGCCTCTGCTTGGCAAGTGATTCCATGCATGCAACCTCCATTGTATACATATTCGGAAAAATATCCTTTACAAGTGGGTCTATTAGTCAGATTATTCGTTATACCTCGATCCTTAGAGTTACAAAGGAATGGCCATAGCACAGATTAGTTATACGTGGCTCTTTGGAGAAAAGGGTATGTTCGTTATACCCTCGCTCTTCTAACCCCTTTAATTTGTAATATATTAGTTTTTCTAACGGGTGTTGTAGATGGTGTTCTATGTATATGGCCAAATTGCCTCAGTCTATTTTTTCTCAATTTATCACCTATTCAGCTATTCCCAGGTTCTTTTATATACATTTTGAAAAATGCCTTAATATGAGCACAAAAATCAAATTGAAATCTATAATTTTATAAATTTGACAAAAGTTTTAGTACTAGCTGTCAACCTAATCTAATCCTATTCTATTTAGGCTTGGGACCAGCAATATAAGATAAACTCATAGGGCAGGTTTTTTTTTTTTTTTCAAGCTGAAGTTCAACCTAATTATGTATTTATCAATTGAATTATTTGAAGGGCATCTTCACCCCAAAGTTTAAAACGCCCCTACAGAGAGTATATCGAGATTCTGACTGGTTCAGGGGGTGGAGGAACCTTAAACCGGCTCCCTGAACTGATTTTGAAAAAAAAAAAAAAAAAAGGTACTGATACTGCCTAATACGCCCTTACCGGCATATCGGACATATCGAACCTTGCTTCACCCTAAAGGAGATAAATTCAAAATTTAAATATGTTTGAAATTTTTGTGTGTATAATACATCTTCACCCCACTGATAACTACTGTTGATTAGTTATCAGTTTTTTAGGGTATCGTACCTTTCCACCTTCCAGTATCACAGTCGGACTTATTTAAACCCAGTCAAAATCGAGTTTAAGCCCCACCCAATTTGGACTTGCTTAGACCTTGGGCCGGGTTGACCTTCTTATATGGGATGAGTTTTGGTCCACTAGACCCAGTCCAAAGCAGATACACGAAGCCAAGTTCTATCTTCTATGGCTCATCGTCTATCCAGAGCATAGTTCTTTCCAGTTTCCAGCCCTGAAAAAGGATACTACTACAGACTACAGTTGAAAGAGTTCTGTCTGTTCATGAGCGAATGCAGAGGGCAATGGCAGCTCTCCCTCTTCTCAACCTTCTCTCTCTGCAGAACCCAAACATCAAATATTCCCTTTCACTATTCTCTCTTAAGACCGCTCGCTCTCGATTCTCTAACCCCAGAAACGTGACGAGATGTCTCTCTGTGTCTGCTGCGGAGCACAAATTATCCCTTGGTTTAAAGTCTAATACCGTTCTTGAGCCTTACCTTTCTTGCTCGATGCCCGGAAAGAGGCTCAAAGTCGCAGTTCTTCTTAGTGGAGGTGTTGACAGTAGCGTTGCTCTTCGGCTTCTCCATGCCGCCGGACATTCCTGCACTGCGTTCTACCTGAAAATCTGGTTTCAAGTACTTCTTTTGTTCTTATGTGGATTTCTATACTCAAATTCAGTAGAAATGTCTCAACTTTGAATTTGCTTTGTAATGTATCCCTTGGGGATGCAAGTGGTAGGTTCTCTGATTTTAATGTAGTAATGGCTTGTAATTTGGGTCTAAGTTATGAAATAACCCGTGGAACATTTTATGTGAAAATAAAATAATTTAATTGTGTAATGCAAAAACTGAAGGTTTTATACTGGACACAAGAAAGATATTTATCATTCTTGCGTTGCTACTGAATCTGCCTTTTTTTTTTAAGTTTACATTTTCATCTATTATTTTATTAAAATTGGTAAGGTATACATGTCCTAATATCGCTAGGCATCCCAAGAATATCATGCAAAGTTCATTGAAGTGGGGTAGAATCCTTCAAGGTTTTTTATTGGGGTGAAGAATGCACTTACCCAAAGCAAACAAAAAATATTAGGACTCGAGTATTTAGCTACATTGGTTGCCCTAGTGCACCACAATCATGAAGTGATATGTTTTAATCCAGCTTGAACAGATAGGAATAAATGCAAAAATTATTAATGATTTCACATATTTCTTCCCCAGAAAAGATTTAATTGTGTCCTCATGTTGTATTCTGTTAGTATTAATACTCCAGAAAAAAACACGTAATTAGTTGTGCTAATTGGTTCTTTGTAGGAAGACTTTGAAAACTTCTGGTCAGCATGCCCGTGGGAGGAAGATTTGGAATATGTAAAAGCAGTTTGTGATCAGGTGGAGTTCTTCTCTTGTTTCCGTGTTTTAGAATATCAGTGAAGGATTGAAAGCCAAGTGGGAATGGCCATTAAAGACCACCTTTGTTTCTGTCCTTGGATGAAAGTAAAGAAAATCTCAAATGGTTCATACTTCATACTGAACAATTCCTTTGGATTTGACTCTGTCATTCCATGTATTTTGGTTTAGCTCGTCTGATGTATACCTAATTGAAATAGTTAGCTTGATCCAAGTCCATTTGCTTATGCATTTATTTATTTTTATGACTTGCATCATAGACTAAAATTAATATTTGAGTGAATTCTGTAAAATGAAACCTAGAGAGAAACAGGAAAAACAGAGCACATAGAGGAGAATCAATGATTTAATGTTGTTTGGTAATGGTATTGTACGTCCATGCTTAAACCCCTTGGAAATTGCTACAATCTACCTGGTATTACAACCCTAGCTTTCTCCTGCTAGTTCTTAAGGAATTGAATTTCTTTTCAGAAACCCTAGTTGAACTTCCAATGAGGTGGTACAAAATACCCAAATTACCTTGTACAGACAGCTTATGGTTGCATTTTTCTTTAATTCATGTACATTGCACCCTAATTCAACCCCAAACGATATTTACATAATTGCCACCCCAAATCTCCTTAAGTGTGTATCATTGCACTGTTAGAATATAAAGACAATTATACAACAAATTCAATGGGAAAAATCTCATGTTTAAAAGAATCATATTATATTGCTTTTTTCTAGTATAGGTTCTGAGATCATTTACATTATTTTACAGGTTGAAGTACCATTGGAAGTTGTACACTTGACTGATGAGTATTGGGACAATGTGGTATGCATACTTTCCTTTGCCATTGGTTTCTTGGTATTCGTTTTCCAAGTTCACATATGTTTTCCTTTTGTATATCCTGCATAATGTTAGCTAGTCTAATGGGCTGTTGGTTGTAATTTGTCCTTTTCTCTTCTTTGAATAAAATTCTCCTTGTTAATGATGTATAGATATCATTTAACAAACATTAAATTATTATGGGTCTGTGGGTAATTATCAATCAACATCTGGTTTCATCAATATGTTATTTATTGTGTGCTGCTGAAAGATTTTTAACTTCAATCTAGTTCCACCTGGTTGATTTCTGTTCTTCTATATTGCCTTTCTTCTCATCTAATGTAAATTGATCTGATGTCTCAGGTATCTTACATTATTCAGGAGTACCGATATGGTCGCACTCCTAACCCGGATGTCCTCTGTAATACAAGAATCAAGTTTGGTATGTTACTCACTCAAGTTAGCTGGATATGAATTCTTACATCTTTGGTATAATTATATCGTTTACACCATGATACCTGGATACCTTACGAGGGTGCCATATTATGTCAGATACTTCAATTTTTAGTGTAAATCATGTAAATCATGTCCAGTTGTGTCCTTGCCGGGTCTGGATAACATGGTCCTTTACCCAATTTTCAGGAGCCTTTTTGGATGCAATCAGTAATATGGAATTCGACTATGTTGCGTCTGGACATTATGCAAATGTCATTCACCCATGTACAGATCAGAAGGATGGCCCTTCTATTCTAGAATTATCAGAGGATAAGGTATCCATGTTAGAAATACAAATGGTTAAAAATTGATTAGAAAATGTAAGAAAGACAAATTCATGCTATCTGTTCTTTCCCATTTTTATTCCATGTTGCTCAATGATCTTTCTGCATTTGCATATTGTTCGTAGAATCTTTGACAGGTAATTACAGTGAAAGCTTATTGGTCGGATTGTCATTCATGTGAATAATCTGGGAAGCAATTATTCCATGTTTTCATCCATCCTCTTTCTCTAAAATCCTAATTACCTATACTGCTGAAGTACTTATGTGCTCTTCTGAACATCTCTGAAGTGATCCTAGGTACTGAATGTGAGAATTATACTTTTGAGCATTGTTTGTTGATATATGCAGTTTGATGTTTCAGGTCAAGGATCAGACATACTTTCTTTCGCATCTTTCGCAGGCCCAGCTTAAACGACTTCTTTTCCCTCTTGGATGTATCTCAAAGGTTATATGAGGATAAAATCCTGTGTATTCCGAGTTTTTGTCTTTGCTACCTTACTTTGTTTTAATAGCTTTAGCTGTTTCAGTGGCAGCTAACCCAAGAACTGAGCTGTTCTTTTGGGCTTTATGCTTTTCTTAGATAACTTGAATGCTAAATGTCCATGATCTTGAATCTCTTTTTGTTGTGAAATTATCTGCAGAATGAGGTCCGTAAGCTTGCTGCAAAATTGGAACTTCCTAACAGAGATAGGAAAGATTCTCAAGGAATCTGCTTCCTTGGAAAGGTAATTGTGACAATTGTATTTTGGAATACATTTATTTGTTTGAAGAATGTTTGGTTGTCCATTAAGTATTTACACCTAGTAATTTCCCTCCTTGGTAGCAAAACTGCATAGAGGAGAATTGAATGTTTTACAAAATTTGATCAATTTATTTAAATAGGAAAGTTTAGTTCAATCAATGGTCATCAAGTTATCAACTAAACTAATTCTATAATCTCTAGTAGTAGACTGGTTTTATCATGAATCCATGTGGTCCAGTTGCTTTTATATGCTCTGGTACTAAATCAGTGATTTGCAGAAAATGCTTTACCTTCAGGATGCTTTTTGGCTTTGGAGATCATCTTAGTGGGTTGTCTTTGTTAGATCCTGGACTATGTTAACTGTTTAGGGATGATGGCTTCTTGATAGTGTATTTTAGCAATTACAATCATTTGCCAATTTTATAGTGGTCCGTGTCATTTTAATAAACTGTGACTAATGCTTCTGCAAGTTCAGTAAGATATATTCATTTTGAGTTACTGTCATTGTATTAAAGAGGTTAGATCATAGGCATATATAAGGGGGTAATCTCATTTTGCTGGACTAGGATATCAACTAATAACCTTGCTGATTCTTCTGCCTATTTTTTTTAAGAACTGTAAGGTAAAGTATTTTATTGAAATCAAAAGGCTAAAATACAATAGGGCCCCTGTACAATGAGAAACTGTACAGCAGAAAACAGTATACCCAATATAACCAACCCCCCAAAACAAAAACATATAAGAAGGAAATCAAGATAAAAAAAAAGAACAGGTGTGTCTGCTTTTGATTAATAGGTGATTTGCCAACCAAGAATGCATCATCCCCAAAATCCTGTTGAGAACCTCTTCTTTTGAAGTCTGCCTCCCTTTGAAAACTCTAGTGTTTCTTTCACACCATACTGCCCAGAAAACTGCAGAGGGAAGAATGCTCCATGTTACCTTTCCAGCTGTGCTTAAGCCTCCTAAGAACCAAGCCCCTATAAAACCCTTCACATCATCCAGGAAGCACATTTCCAGCCCTGCCTAATTAGAAATTTACTGTTTCTTTAAGGTGTATGAGGAGGGGTCATTACTTGGTGTAATGGTAAAATCTCGGGCTGTCAAGTGTGAGAATGCGAGTTCGAGTCTGGGAGTGGCCACTTTGTGCAAAAAAATGCCAATGGTTAGGACTGTATCCAGTCCAGCCTCCCAAGACCCCAGATAGCTGGGACCAACATTGGGTAATGGCCTTAAGGTATACAAGGAGGCTTTTGGCATAGCCTAAATGTTTTATGGTAGCTTCTTTATTATTCTTGTTTCATTGTATGGTTCCTTACTTTCATTTAAGCAATATGTTCTTCCTCAATCTTGTTACTGGTTATAAGATTTTATTATCATGAACCTTAAGGCTGTATCTCAAGCATATGCACCTACTAACTGATCTAACAAGGGTTCTTAGAGAGATCTTTGAAGGAGTYCTAGATGGCAGTGATGAAACAGATTTAAATCCTTATCCCAAGTGAATACCTTTAAGGGCTAAGTTGAACATATATGGACAGAAATTCTCTTAATAAATTACATACAGAAGGCTGAATAGAGTTCCAGAAATTAATAGCTTGTAGAAGATTAAGTCAGATTATTCTTTATTTCTTTCACCCTAGTGCTGAAGTTGATGACACATTGATTGTAGATAAAGTTCAGTGAATTCATTGCAAAACACATTGGGGAGATGGAAGGCATCTTGTTGGAAGCTGAAACAGGGGATTTTCTTGGGAAACACCATGGATTTTGGTTTTATACTATTGGTCAACGCCAAGGTCTACGCCTTCCTGGGGGACCCTGGTATGTTTTCTTCCCTTTTGGATGCAGTGGTTGTTCTTTGTAGTTTTGATTAACAAAGTCCAGTAATTTTAATCACCCCAAAACTCTTCCCTTTTACTCCTTTTATCCTATCCAATTAATGTAAAAATTATGCTCCTACCAGTCTTGTATGTTGAGATTATTCTTTCTACATGGTGGTTGCAGTTTTTATTATCTAATGAACGGCTTTACCCATGAAAATGCTGTGTGTTGCATGTAGGTATGTTGTCGAAAAGGATGTCAAAAATAATGTTGTATTTGTCTCAAGAAATTATTACTCATTTGACAAAAGAAGGCGCAGATTCCGTGTTGGATCCCTGAAATGGCTTGCTGGATTGCCTCCAGATCAGTTTAATAAGCTCCAGTGCAAGGTAGGAATTCCCAACTTTATTTCTTATTTTCCATACCTTGCCAGTTCTTGGTAATGGTATCCACAAGCAAACTATTTCAATGCATACAATGTGTTTTCTACTCTTGGTAATGATATTTATTCTGTTTTGATGAGATTTAACGTCAGATAAATCTGATCGTGTGTGCTTCTAATGTAATTATGATTATTGATAGTTTAGATGATGAACAAATTTCAGGTTCGACATGGTCCTGGCTTTTATGATTGTAGTTTAATAATGGAAACTGGTGAAGATGGTGACAGAACTTCTGCTGTTGTTCATTTATCTGAGGATGATCAAGGCTTGGCTGCTGGGCAGTTTGCAGCCTTTTACCAAGGAAAAACTTGCATAGGCTCTGGCGTAATCTTGGAGTGTTGGGATAGCCAAGGCTTCCCTGTCTGTGCAAAGGCTCTTCAAATTGCAAGAATGGAAGATAAATCCAAGCTTGGGAAACCAGTTAAGATTAAGGTCAATCCAGAAAATTCTTTAAAGAGTTCTGAAATTACAGATAAAGTGGAACTTAATGGAAAATCTTTGAATTCAGAAGATATTACCCTTGATAAAAGTAAACAATCATCTCAAGGAATTTTCAACGTAAACTGGTTTCAGAAGCTTAGAGAGAAGTGGTTGCAGGTATTCTAATTTTCTAGACTTTCTGACCGTTGAACTTACAGTGCAGAGAGAGAAATATAATCCTTAGTGATCTCTTCTCACAGAGGTTAATTCTTGCAAGGTATTGCCTGGTAATGGAAGTCAGTGAAGAGCTCTCTTTCGTTCTTGTTTTACTTCCAGGTTCTGGTGCCATTTTCCTCTCTTTGATAATTTAATGGCTGTGTCATAATGGTAAATGCTTTGGAGTCTGGGCCTCCTTGGAATTGGTAGGAAGTAGGAACTGATAAGAGCTACACGGGAAGATCCTATCAGCCTTCTCTCTTTCAGTGGGCTTTCAAGAGTGTACAAAAGCTGAGATTTTGATCATACTTAAAGGGTTTAACCTCATGTATCTTATTGAATTCAAGAATTTCGTGGTACAGGACCTACAGATTGATAAACAGGTGGTTATTTGGTGGATGACAGAGATATCAAGGGTGCCTTGCAGACTGAAACATCATATCAGAGAAACTAGATCTTCCACATCTATCTCATTCAGATTAGTGATGAGATTTGCTAATTCGACAACTAATGGTCTTGCTAAATAGAGAAATTTCTATTGGAGGATTTCTTTGCAGAGACAGTTAATGGTATTATTATGATTTATGGCGCTTGTAACTTTTGGCTACTCTATTGTTATTAATAAAAAATGATTCTTTGTCGCAACTAGGCCTTAACTGACTGCTAAAGGATCTTAAATGCTTGTTTTTGTGGTTGCCCTGAGATGAGAGATAAGTGGTCAAAACTCAAAAGTCATTCTAGTTCTTTGGGAATTGCCTGTTGGCGAATGACTAATTGGTTTGTAACTGCATTATGAGCTAGGGTTTGTGGAATATCCTATTCTTATTAATTAGTTGTCAATTTCTCATAGAAGTTGATAAGTCTCATGTAGACATCTAGTTTTGTGGAATATCTTTTTTTTTACTGTTAAAGTATCATTTAAATCGTACTAGTTTTAGAGTTATATTGAAAATGGGAATGTTTTCTCGTCCTTTTCTCTGTTAAAATTCTTGAAACTAGGATGAATTTGGATGGTGTTTGGTGGCAGAGTCGTTTCTCCAAGGTGTTTCTGCCATGTAGGTGTCAGTTCTCTCCCTCATTTTTTTTCTTGTTTGGTTGAGTGTTTCAAGCCATTTCAAACAACACTGGATGTCTTGAGTTTTGTGAGTCACTTTTGGAGAAAATGTCAATTATTTCAAACAGTATCTGATGTCTTGAGTTTTGTAAGTCGTCACTTTTGGAGAAAATGTCAATTTGATGTTTCTTGTAACCGGAGTAATGTTTTCTCCCTTTCAACTATGTGGTACCTAATGGTACCTACTTGACCTCATCATCTGATCTCTCTCTCCAATAACATCTTCCCTTCCCATTAAATCCCAAATCTATATCTATGTATTAAAATACTGTTGTATAGGGTGCTCATGCTATATATTTACTGTTAACTTCAAGGATAATTTCATTAGAGAAAAATTTGCTTGTGTTTCTTGGTTCATCTGCAAGAATAGAAACAATAAATGTTTTAATGGTTTAGTTAGTAATGCTGAGATTATTATTAGTAGAGCTTTAGTCTACTGGAATGAAATTAAAGAGATCTCTACTTGTATGGTTAACATTAACAGTAAACTTTTAACTCATGTTGAGTGGTTCAGGCCTAAACCTGATTGCATCAAGATTAACTTTGATGCTTCTTTCTCAAATAGTGGCAACTGTGCCATTGGGTGTATTGCTATGAACCATCAAGGCAAAGTCCTTGAGACCAAAGCTCTTAGGATTGGAATTTCGACAATTAACCGTGCAGAAGCTTGGGCAGCTTCGGAGGCCATTAATATTGCAATCAACTACAGGGACCAGCAAATTACCATCGAAAGAGACTCAAATGGTAATCGACTGCCTCAATGGTAGATTCTCGCCCCCGTGGAGAATGGAATGCATCATCAGGGAATGTCGGAATCTTGTCGACTTATTCAACTTAAATATCAAATTCGAGCATACATATCGGAAAGCAAATCAAGCAGCTGATTGGTTAGTTCGTAAAGCTCTAAACAACCGGGAGTCTAGTAGAGAGTTTAGCCTTTAGGTTTTGTGACTTTATTTTTATTTGTGATGCATATTTAAGGGGAAGAGCTACCCCCATGCTTGTGTAGCTCATCTTTTACCATTAAAAAAAACTGTGCTTTTTGATTTTTTTTTTCTTTTATAAATGCTATAAACTTTGACCATTATAACTTGGGAGCTCATAATCATGAAACCTAAATTTGCTGGTATGTGACAATCTGGATGCCCACATATTAAAGAGAAATTTTATTAGTCTTTGTGCTTTCTAGCAAGTACATAACCTGGAAAAGTTTTGCCCAAGTTATCACTTTATTGGCAATGGATTATGCTCACAAGTAATTAGAAGGTCCATCATGTCTGGTGCATCACTGCTGCATCATGCAACAAAATTGACTGCACATAATGATAATTGGTAAATACAACTTATTAAATATAAAATCACACTTCATGGAACCTTTACTAAGGCTTTGTTTGGATCCATTTTAAAACGTCATCAATATAAAAATACATTAATGACATTTATATAAAAATGCATTAATGACATTTTACTGTAAAGTTTTATATGGATAAAATTAATATAGTATTCACATTGATTATGTATGCTGTAAGTCATCATTCAAACTAAACCGGAGTGAAGTTTTATGTCGACAGTGTTCACACCAACCTTACAGCACGCTGCAGCCGTGCATTGGGAACATCTCACGTGAATGATGACTTACAAGTACGGAGATATTCCAGATGTACATCTGCAAGTGCTGTGAGATTGGTCTAAGGATCTTCAAGTGCTGTGAGATTGGTCTGAGGAGCGCGAGTAGCAAATCCGGATTCGGGTGCACGCTTTTAAATGGATCCCTATGGGAGGTATGCGCACCTTCATAATTCCCCGCCTTTGAGAGCCCGGGAGAGGATAAAATTGCAAAACCACCATCCTCTCGTTGCTAAGAAGGCTCAACATGTCAGTCCGCGAGCTCTGTACATTTTCTTCTCTGTGTGAAAGATTTTCCTTCACTTCTACCACTTCTAGGGTCTCAAAAATCTCTACGACCTCTTTTTCTCCTCAATTTCCATACAGAAATTCAAATTCGAATTTATTACCATTTTTCTATCTTAATTCTTCATCCAATCTCTCCTGCGTCGAAAAATCTAACCTGAAGCTATGCCGGAATCGTCCAAAGAGAGTTTTCCGGTCATGTGAACGTGAATTTCTTGCCCAAAGGGAAGAAGAGGAGGAGGAAGAAGTGGGAGACTCTGATGGTGTTTTTGATGAGGAAACAGATTATGCTGTTACTGATTCCTTTGATATTGAAGAATTCGAAAAGGAGGCAAAAGATGCTGTTAGAGAGTATGCATTCTCTCTATCGAGTGAGCTAACAATTGGTATTTTAACTTTGACGCACTAAGCAAATTATGTTTTTCATATTTTTGGTATTTTCATCTCATTAGATAATTCGCTTGTTTACGTGCTAAAATTTATAGTTCTTTATATATATTTCCTCTGCTTTACTTTGTGTCGTCATCAACACCATCCGAGCAAATTATTCTTTACTTCGTATAGGCTGACATTGACATACTGAGGTTTTTTATTTTTTATTTTTATTTATTTATTTATTCTTTGTACACCTTCAGTTGGAAATGCTTTTCCCTCGAATTTTGGTAAGGCTCAGTTTGGAAGGAATACAAATACAAATTTGTAGAGTGCAAAACCTTGTATTTTGTATGTATTTGCACTGTACATATTTGTATTTGTACTCCTTCCAAACTGAGCCTAAGGAAAAAGAAAAGCATCTGACACAAACGGAGCTAATGGTTACTTATGTCACCAATTGATATCCACGTTTATGCAATTGTTTCATGCTCAAGTTTAATATCTCTGTGTTTTGGTGCCTCATAAATTGAAGCATGTGAATTTCCATAGTTACATGCGAATGAAATGTTATATATTGTTTTAAGAAAAATGCAAGTAACTGTTTCGTTGCTTCTTGCTTGGTTTGTTATTTTTTGTTGTCCATCTTTTTGGTTACAACAAGGGAAAGAAAGAAAATAATTACAAGAGACGAGTTTTTGTCCTTTTTTTTTTATATTGTCAACTTGAGACGTGAATTTTAACCTGTTTATATTGATCCAAAAAAAAAAAAATTAACCTGTTTATGTTCTGATTCTTTTAGAAGATGTGACAAATGGTCAAAAGCAAAGTGGCAAGAAAAGGAGGCCGAAAAGTTCCAGTAAAAATGTTAGTAAGCATTTATTTCCTGCCTTCCTGGAAAATGTTCATCCATTGGTTTTCTCTAACAAATATGTTTTTATAACACGTTAGTAAGTTTCATATTGCTACTATTTTGATTGCTATAGACAATAGTATTCGGTGATAAAGGGAGTGAAGCCAAAATCTTGATCTAGATGAGATGACCAATTGAGTATACTGCAGAAAAGAGAACTCTAAACACACCAATTAAGTTAACTGCCTGGTCTGTAACCAACTATTCACATCAAGAATCTTAGATACATGAACATTGAGTGAACTGTTTGGTAGTCCTAGGAATAACAAGGTAAGACAGTGCTTGAGAACTCTGGTACCAAGTTGCAAGTGTCTTTGATGATTTTTGACGATTTAATGAAAAAGAGAAAGGAGAAGATAGGAGAAAAGAGTTGAATGTTGAAGGTGGAAAAATTGCATGTAACCATTTTATACTAATGGAATTACAAGTTAGCCCCTTCATTAAAAAAAAAAAAAACAAAAAAGATTAAAATCCCTTCCACACAATGCTATAGGATATCAACAGGAAGTATTGTTACTAGAGAAATGGAGGGTTTCCAAGTTAAATAAACTATACTAACTCTAGGTTTGAAGAGAACCTGGTTGCAACTACAATTGTGTTAATGAGTGTGATATTGTTACATCCCCACCCCAAAAAGAAAAAGCAGATAAACATGGATGTGCATAAATGAGGATTGCTACTCTTCCAGTTTGAAAATTTTTTTCTTTTAAATTTTGCTCCTCTCTCAGCATCTTCTCAGTAGATGACACATGATGGTTGCAATTGAATCAGATTGGTCATGATATAATCATATATATATATATATATGCTGAAATGCCAAATAACCTTGGGATTGAGAGCTTGAAAATTTAAGAGTTCATGAGGGAACCTAGGAGTAGCTCCAATAGGTGATAAAATGAGGGAAAGTAGACTAGATGGTTTTGGACCATCCAGAGAAGACCATCTATGAAACCAGTAAGGAGTGATCTATTGCTAATTAAGTTGGATAGAAAAGCTAGGGGCAGGCAGATCAAAAAGGACATGGGTTGAAGTAGTGAGAAATTATCAAATGATGATTATCTTAGATATTAGACTCCTTACATGGTATGTTATTTAATTGGTTATCTCTTATTTGCATAATATTTGGTAGTCACTTTGGTACTTAAAAAGAATCCCATTATTATTTGGGAGTAGCATAACTTTGATGCCTATGATTCACAGACCTTCTATGTTCTACCTGCAGATCCCTGATCATCTTCTTCCAAGGGTCACCATTGTTGGAAGGCCAAATGTTGGAAAATCAGCATTATTTAATCGTCTTGTGGGGGTATTTTCTATTTTCATCAATTTTATTTCTTAATTTTGTCTATCCGTATACCTTTTAATAGTTGAATAGGAATTTAACTTTTATTTTTAACTTTATTAGTTTGAGAGTTAAAGTTACTATGAAATGCTTGTAGGGTAATAAAGCAATAGTAGTGGATGAACCTGGTGTTACTAGAGACCGCTTGTATGGCAGATCATTTTGGGGAGACCATGAATTCATGGTAGTAGATACTGGAGGTGTTCTCACTGTTTCAAAATCACAGGCTAATGTAATGGATGAATTGGCTATTACAAAAACCATTGGTATGGATGAAATTCCACTTGCCTCTAGGGAGGCCGCTGTTGCTAGGATGCCCTCAATGATTGAAAGACAGGCTACTGCAGCTGTTGAAGAAGCATCAGTTATAATATTTCTTGTTGATGGCCAGGTATTGTCAAACTATTATATCGTTTCCTTGATAATTTATAGCAAGCTGCTTTTCTGTACTTCTGTTTCTTTCCCTTTTGATAAAATGGTCTTGCATAAACAAGACCTATCTATGATACTTGTGTAAAGTGAATAAATCACCTCATTGGAACTTCTAAAGGATGTGGAAAAGAAATGTCCAAAATCATGGAAAATATATGAAAATAATGAAACAGAAGATATGCAAATCTCAAGTACTGTCCTCCTTGAATTCTAAGTAATGGCACAATGAAGGGGAAGAAAATCCATCTACCTCAAAAGGCCTATAACATAAGATTTGAGGTTCTGAAGGCCCCATGAAGAAGCTTGTGACTCAAAATAGTTTAGTATTTCATCTTGGGTTTCTCTAAAAGAGAGCAAAAGAGCTCCCTAAGGAAAGAGATACTCTAGAAATAAAGAAAGATGACACTCTGTCCTCGGCAGATTTCCACATGATGCATCTGTTACAAAGTTGCATTCTCCTATTATTTAGATGATCAATAGTGGACCTGTTAAGAAAAAGCAGCCTAATGAATGCCTTAATAGAAGAGAAATATACCATCCCTGAATGTCACCCAAGTCAATTGCATCAATTGCCTCTCTTTCAGGAGCAATGTAAAAATGTCTAACTGAAAATTTTTCTTTGGACTTTCCTCCTTCCAAAACTCTCAATATCTTTCATCCAGAATAGTTAACACATCCTCAAGTCTTTACTCAATTATGGTCCCTGCTATCTGGGATCTTGGGAGGAGTCCGGATCTGCTGACCACAAGACCCTATAGTTGCACATTGGGAACATCTCTTGGACTTTATGGTGTTATTCATGGGAAGATGTTCCTGGTGTGCAGCTGTAGTATCTTGTAGCCAGGATGGCCAGCGTTTTGTGGTTAGCAGATCCAAACTATCTTGGGAGGGTTTAACTGGATAATGACCTAATATCTTGTATTTTTGCAAAAAATGGCTGCTCTCAGGCATAATAAACTTGCACTCTTACACTTGTTGGCCACAGATTTTATCATTAAACCAAGTAATGACCCCTACTAAACGTTTTCAGTAATCCTAGTTAAACATGCAAATGTAAAGTGCCAACAAATCCTGGACATTGGATAGTTAATTATTTGAGTTCATGTTAGACTATAGCAAGAGTTGTTTATAGTTTTGGCCAACCATTTCCTGGATGTTATGATCTGAAACTTTGGTGTTTGTAAAGAACAATAATCTCTTTCTCTCTAAATCTGTTTATTAGTTTGTTTGGTTCTTGATTTCATGATTGGTCTAATAAATTTCATTCAATGCTACAAAGATGATATAATGAATCCTGAACAGGCAGGTCTAACAGCAGCTGACATGGAAATAGCAGACTGGCTCCGTAAGAACTATTCAAACAAAAGTATTATTCTTGCTGTGAACAAATGTGAATCTCCACGCAAAGGAATCATGCAGGCATCTGAATTTTGGTCATTGGGGTTAGATATTTCTTCCATGTCTCTTGTCATGTTTTCAGTTCAATAAGCATTAGTGAAGTCATGATGCAATTGATTTCTGTCCCCATCCTCCCAACAAGACTATCATTGGCATATATTGAACTTGGAAATCTGAACACCCATCTAAATGAGAGGGGCTCATTTTGGCAGTCAGAGATCATACATCTTTCATATGACAACTGAGCCTCCAAGATCATCTGAATCTCTCATGCATCCTATCAACAACAATCTGGATATATCCTTTAACGAGGACCCTTGTAGCCCATAGAGAATGACTTTTGCGGTGCCTATAGGAGTAGATCTGCCATCACTGAGTCCCCTGACCCCGTGGGCTATGACCCCAAATAAATAAAGAATTTTCTTTTATCAGTAAAAAGAGAGTTCATTTATATATATAAAAAAGAGGAAGTTTAACGGAATATCATAGAAATGAAGGAAGAAAATACAAGTCATACTAGAACCAGAACCAACAAGAAAATCTAGGAGTTGGCACCTGGATTTGAAGGAATTGGCATCTTCAAGAGTTAAGTGTCAGAAACAAACAAGTAACAAGTAATAAACTGAAAATAAATCATTCATTTGTTGTCTTAAATAGGAACCTGCTTTTTACACATCTTGTATGGAAAATGCACTAAATGTCTTTGAGATCCATCCAACATTCATTTTCCTAAATGTTAAGAAATTACTTGCAACTAGAAAGACCCTGCAATGTCCTATCTAAATTTTTAGGGCTATCTAAATATTTGCAGAGACATCAAATCTGTAAGGTTTGATTTAAGAGAATATTCTACATATAGGTCCATGTGACTTGGACAACTAGCATGCATGCCATCAAATTGGGCTTGCAGTAATGGGCATAAGCTTGTCATCCTTGCGTTTCACTTGAAGATATCATGAACTTGTACCTCCTCTAAGTCCATGGGCTAGCAGGTATTATGGGCTTGAGTTGGATTGTGGGACCAAAGATGGTTTGTGAGGCCTATTACAAATATTCATCTACTTCAACATTTTAACTCTGCATCAACATTGTTTCTGTACATACTGAATGTTTGAGGTTTGAGTTTTCTTTAGTATCTCCATGGCCTGCTGCCCCGAAGCTTTTTGAACTATTTGCTATACTGGATTAGTCATGAAAAGACTTGTACAATGGGCTGTGACTCAAAAATTTTGTAGGCTTTAGGATGGATCAGTTTCAAAGGGTGTGTGACAGCATCATTTTTTATTCTTCTTTTAGCTTATAAAAGGAGGGTTCATTTGTAAATGTTAAGTTTGTTTTTGTTCCAACATAATTGCCTCTTCCCCAAGGGAAATTTGCCCTCAGTTTAATTACAATAATCATTTATCAAGAAAATACTAAATAATTCTCAAGTTATTATTGTGGATTCAATTTGGTGGATATTACAATGCTAGTGTTGATCATATTTATCTGGTTACACCCAGTGGCATCTAACCCTCTGTGATTGTTTGAATACCAAATTACATGTCAAGCAAAGAGCCTATGGACATCAAACATGCAGTAGTAAAACTGGACAACACGCAGAATGCATCCAATGTGGACATAGTCCATATAGATGGTTGATGCATACAACAATTTGTGGATGCATAACCTTTTATCTTGGCATGTTTTTTTTTCTGCAACTGTTATATAGGGCTTCTTTTTGCTGCATTAACTATTCATTAGTCTCTGAAAATGGCATCTATTGATCTGGTTCCGAGATTGGAAAAATGCAACTTCATATTGCCTATTTTCATAATCTGTGTGGTCCTGATAAAAGTACACACATTTTTTATTGATGAACCAGGTTTTCTCCACTTCCGTTATCTGCTGTATCAGGGACAGGAACCGGAGAACTTCTTGATGTTGTTTGTTCAGAACTGAAAAAAGTTGAGGTATTTGATTCCATAAACACATATTATGATCGTATGATTTATTTATGTATTTATCTTTTTTTTTTTTTTTTTGAGAAGAGGTAGCATGTATATTCATTCAATAATAGCTAAAAAGGGTGGTGGTGGTGTACATGAGTGGATGTACAAACAAGCACAAAAAGAACAAAACACAGCCTAAGGGCCATCCAAATTACTAGTGTGTTTGCACCATACAAAAGATTCTTATTCTATGATTGTTCTGACTGTTATCAGGATTTCACCATTCCTAAATCTGGTACACCAATTGTAACAGTTTTAATCAAGGGGGCATGCTATGGTATCATTGATCCCTTATAGTCCCAATAATGATTTGGGCTACTAGAACCAAATTCCTTATTGTGAAACTACTTGATGCAACATCAGAATCAATTTATCTGCTTCTGATAACATAGGTTAGTATACAAAATAGAGTATTTGCAGCAAGAGAAGTGTTTATTGAACACCCTGTATATGAAAAAAAAAAACTCCAAGTTGGTTAGTATACAAAAATGTACAAATTAATGCCCATATAACTTCAGAAAAGTGATCCATGATTACCCAGAAGGTTCCTGAGAGAAGATCAAGCCATGATTTCAGATGTTGGAAGAGCCAGCCTTCAGACTAGAGACAAGAAGCCTATAACTGTACCCAACCAACTAGCATGACTGTCTAAACCTCAACAAATCCTCTGACCCTTTTACTAAGTCCCCACCTCCATTGTCTACCAATACCCATGGGATCCACACAACAAAATCCCTACTTTAGGGATCACTGGTCAAAAGAACGAAAATTTAGATTTCTTCCATGATAGATCAGAAACCATGACAACTTATGGGAAAAAAATTCTCATATGAGGATGGAGTCCTTCCCTACCAGAGCCACCACTGCTTTTCCTGTTGATAACTTATATTCCTTAACCCATTAGCTACCTTCTCAACATCCTTCAGTAAATACTTCATTCATCACTTACAAGTATCTACCTGCACTGGTAAAGGCACAGACTTTCACTCCTCTTTTGCCTGTTATAACATTAATAATTATGTGCATATCCTTTCATGTTAATGCTAAAGCATCTTTAACCCATGCAGGGCGTAGAAATTCCCAGTGAAGAAGAAAATTATGTTCCTGCTATTGCTATTGTTGGCCGTCCAAATGTTGGTAAAAGTAGCATTTTAAATGCATTACTTGGAGAGGATAGAACGATTGTTAGCCCAATCAGTGGAACTACTCGTGATGCTATTGATACTGAATTTACTGCACCAGATGGTCAGGTTAGCTTGCTACTAAAATATGCCCTGCTGGTTGGAAGTCTTTGTTGATAATTAACTTTACCAGAATTATCCGATGTTGTATGAATGACTTATGTCAACACTGACCTGCTGAAAGCCTCAATATAGCCACACTTCACTTGATTGAAATCAGGATAGCAACAAACTTACATAATCTCTTCTTGTATGCAAGCATGTGAACCAATATGGCATAGAATTATAAGAATTTCGATGTGATATTTCTTAAAACATATCTAGACTCTATTGTTGGTTGATGGTTGATGCAGAAGCAACCTGGTTAGATAAACATGATCCACCATGGTAGCCTGAGAGGAAGGCTAAGGGATTTCATCAGTGAAGAATCAAATCAAAACTGATATATTGAACATTCTTGGGTCTGCCAGCAAGGAATTCTGGGCAAAATTTCATCAAAATCCTAGATGGGGCTTATGGAACTTTAGTAGGTTTCACCCATAGTTTCCATCTTTCCCTGAATTAACTTCAAGTTCATTGAATGGATAATGTCAATTAATGGAATGCATATGTAGTGAGGAAAACTGAAAAATTAATTTAGATATGTTGCACCTGAAGTAAAATGCCAAGGGTAATTTTTTTTCTTTATACCAAGTGCCTCATAATGTCATACATGAAACTAACCTATACTGACCAATGGGAGACCCATACCAAAGACACAATGTTCCATATCTGCAGTGTATGGTGCACTTGTAAGGGGCAAAAGAAAACAAATTTGTATCCCAATGATTGCTCTGCACCTGAAACCATGAAGTGTCAAAACCAAACAACAATCTGTCTCCATCTTACCCAGTGATCATCTGTCATGTGCAGATCCTATACATGCTCAGCTTACCCATATAGAACATGATATGTAACCTGATTTAGCACTGGATACTATGTAAGCATGATAATTTATGGCATAACACTTCTAAAAATATTAGTTATATTTTAACTGATCATACCATGGAAAAATTGTGGTATTTTGGATATCTGATTAAGCTTGACAACATTGCAAGTTTCTAGAAATGACGTTTAGCCTAAAAACTAATTATAAAGGTGCAGTACCACCATATTAAATGGTAAATTCGTACCCACATCTACATAATGGATCCCTATAGAAAAAGAAGTGCATCCCCATTTCATGTATCCATATCTGTATCTGGGCATCTTGGGAGATCACTTCAACTTATTGATATGGTGCACAATTTGTTCTATTCAGCTATGCAATGTATTCCCCATGTTATATAGAGTTATAGACATGATATGAGTTATGGACACAGCATGAACAAGGTGTCAGACATGGAATTTATAATATTGTAGTGTCTAACATGGATGAGGAATCTATTTTGAACTTTTCATGTGACATAGATGGGAAGCTATATTGCATTATCATGTTAAAATCTCTAATATTACCTTTACCTTTGACAACATTTTCTGAGTTCAGATTTCGTCTTTGGATTCCTTTTTGTCAAAGCCTTGAAAATTGGAGTTGCTTTTATGGTCATGAATGTCACATGTGCACAGTAATTTCATGCTCTCATGCTTATTTGAGTCCATCTATTCAAATTTAAGATAAGGGGAGTGATAACCTTGTATATATGAGGTGACGTTTAAGCTTCTAGCAATTTGTAACATTAAACAAATACAAAGTCAAGTATGAAATTTAGTTTCCTTAAATGACAACCAGTTTTTGCTCCGGCATGGGCACAGATACATGCAAATTAGCTCCCTTTAGGTATTTTTCCACTAAAGTATTTATGTTAGATTACTAGAACAAGGAAGGGCATACAGTATCTCACAGTTGTTCCTTATTCTAGTTTCTCAGAATCTTATTAGTCAGTTTACTGGAGCAGGGAAGGGCTTACAGTATATGACAGTTGTTTCTTATTCTAGTTTCTCAGAATCATGATTTGCTAGAAACATTTGCAGAAGTTCCGCCTTATTGATACTGCGGGTATTAGAAGGAGAGCAGCTGTAGCTTCATCAGGCAGCACCACAGAGGCCTTATCTGTGAACAGAGCATTCCGTGCCATTCGACGTTCAGATGTTGTGGCTCTTGTTATTGAGGCCATCGCCTGTATAACAGAACAGGTACTTTGCCCATAATGGCTTGATTATAGAAGCTATGCCTGGATGTAGACTATCTATAATGCTTCTCACCAATAAACATGTATGAAACTTTTTCTTCCTTTGATCGAGTGCAACATATGCTAATATATGAAGGAAAGTTGTCTTTCCCATGCCAATAATTTAATTATTATAAATAATTATTCTAAGGAGCAGATATGACTTGCTGTTGTGTTGAATGCAATGTCTTCAGTTACAAAATCAACCATTTCTTGATCACTTAGTCTTTTCAGCACATGCCTGTGCTCTTGTATCTATTGTGATATAGGAATTACTAATTTCTAGTGTCTCAAAGTTTGTGTGGACCTTAAGATTTACTGTTTCTGCTTCTAGGTATCTTATTTTGACAGGTTTTCTTGTTTGTTTAGTGTTATTGCATAATCTCTGCATACATGACAAATTCTGATAGCTAGCATTTCTACACAAAAGTCAGCTGAAGCTTTATTCTTGAAATAGTTGAAATTTGTAGTTTGTTTCTGTGGAAAAGTTAAAATGCAATGCTTAGCTTACTGACAGTATGATGCATATAACATTAAAGTATAGCTTATGGTGCAACTACTGCATTCCATGTATTCAGTCAATTATCTCCAATACATGGGACCAAATCTTAGATGATGACCCCTCATCCCATCACCTATTGGGACTTACCTTAGATTTCCATGAAATCATTCTCTATTTATTTTGTCCTTCATAGTCTTGCCAAATGTTCAACTTCCGAGCTATCCTGATTCTATGGACCTTGTTAATTGGGTACCCAGCATTCTATTTTATGAAGTGTGACTATTCTTATAGCGACCTTATAAAATTATCCCTTCAGTTCAATTGGTATGTATCAACGATACATCTCCAGAAGTACACCTTTGCATTCATTCAACCCATTCTATTGCCATGGTCAATACCCATCCAGTCTTTTACTTCTCAATAACTAAAATATATATGGAAAATGGTTGTGGTGGTATATCCTTTAGCAAAAGATCTTAATTTCTCCATTATTTATACTCCTGTGTTTACCCATAAACCATACATGACATACCTCCTTGTCTATCTACCCTAGTTAACTAAACATAACTAGTGCAAAATGTAGACTCCAAATATATAGACATGTACACAAAAATAAGATGTTTACCAAAAAAAAAAGGATCACAAAAATAACAAAGAGAGGAACTACTTACCATTTGCTAGGAGGTAATTCATCTTAAAATCAATCCTTAAGAAGCCCTCCAAAGAAGATAACTGAACTGCCCCCTTTCTCCTTATAGATGCATCCTTTGTAAGCAAGCCTATTAAACCATTTATCATTTGCTATTCTCCTGCTCCTTTGTTAATAGAATTTGGGAGCATTTTTCCCTATCTTTGTGGTGTAAGGTGGCTCTGTTAGCTCAGATTAATAGCTTCTTTAGGCTATAATTTTTTTATTTTATCCTAAAAGATGAGGTAAGATCATGATGATGTCTTAGAGCTGCAGTTCTTTTATGGTCAGTGTCAGAAGAAAGAAATGCTCAAATATTTGATGAGTTGTCCCATGGAAAGACACTGGGACTGAAAACATTATAGTAAGAGCAGCATATTGGCTAAAAATAGTAGAAGAATTCCACATTTTTTGGTACAGATGGCATAATTCAGAGATGGAATATGGTGCCCCCTTCTTCATCCAGAAGAGTGATGTCTATTCTTGGTCTCCCACTCTCCCCCTCAATTTATTCACATCAAGCTTAATTTTGATAGCTACAGATTGGGAAATCCTAGGAAGATCAGGCACGGGGGTGGAGCCAAGGGTGGCGGAGGGGAGCCATGCCCCCCCTATGCCTTCAAAATTCCCATAAAACCCATTTAAATTCCACTTATATTTTGACCCCTTACCCGTGTTTCCTAGCTTTTGCCCCCCCCCCCCCCAATCCATGTTATTTAGGTTTTGGCCCCCCTCAAGAAAAAATTCTAGCTCCGCCCCTGATCAGGCATAAGAGGGGCTTTTAGGAGACCTTTCAAAAAAATAGTAAAACAAAAAAAAGAAGGGCTTGGCTTTAGGAATCAAGATGGTGAAATCTTTCTAATATACTCAGGTGTCAGGTCCTATTGCCCTATTGGCAATGGAAATTCAATTCAGTCTGAGTTGTTCTCTTTATTTAAAGGATTGGGCTGTCTGTTTCCATCGGCTATGAGAGACTAGAGGTTGAAGGAGATTTCAAAGAGGTAATTGGGTGGATAGGGAGGTCTTGTGAGATACCATATTAGAGAAGCTAAAGCCATTTGCAACAACCACTATTCCTAAAGTTTAATTTTCAGTTCTCATCAATTGTATTGCATTTAGACATTTTAGGACCATCTGTATCTTCACATATGTTTCTTTTCTCTGCTTATGTTACATTAAAGAAATTATGCTTATTTTTAATTAATCTTATCACCACCTTACAATAGAGGTCAGTTACAGCATCAATCTAAGCAACTGCATAGTTGACAATGATTTCTATTATTCTTAGTGAAAGTTATTTTTTATTGATCAAAAAAAGGTGATTATGACTAAAGACTCATGCTAGAAACAATTTGACCATTGGCAGTTGTGGATACTGAAGTGGTGATCTTGTTAAATGTTGCATTTCTTTGGCTATTTTCCTGACAACTTACTACTTATTTTGTGTGTACATTTGATACTCACTAAAAAAAATATGTTTGTTTGATAATTGCCCCATAAGGTTCTCTTAAGTGTACCATAACATTTAAGTCGTAATAATATGACTAGTCTCATTTTTTTTTTCAGATTACATATCATTGATTTTTTATCTCCTAATTCAATGTAATGGAGTTTCTTATTTATCTTTATGCCCTAGGATTGCAGGATTGCTGAAAGAATTGAGAAAGAAGGGAAGGGATGCGTGATTGTTGTAAACAAATGGGATACAATTCCAAACAAAGACCAGAAGACTGCAACATACTATGAGCAAGATGTTAGGGAGAAGCTCCGCATTCTTGATTGGGCACCAATTGTTTATTCAACTGCAACAACTGGAAACAGTGTTGAAAAGTATGTATGTTGATGCTATATTTCTTCTGAATGTTCTTTTACAGTTTAAATTGCTGTTTTACTGAGTTCTCTCTCTCTCTCTCTCTCTCTGAAAAAGGTAAGGTAATTTTATTAGATTTGGAATAAAAGTACAAGAGGATCCCCCATAGAAATTGTCATCTCAAATAAGCCATTGCACAATTGAGAAAGCTGTCCAACATTTCAGTGAATGTTTTTTGTTTTTCCTTGGAGGGTAGAGAGAAATGGAGAAACTGCTTGATGTTTTTATTTTTAATGAAAATTAAAGTTACTGATAAAAAAGAACTGAAGAAATTCTGCTGTCTACTAAAACCCAGTTGAATCTAAGTATACAATGGGTGGGAAGGGAGGCAAATGCATTGGCTGATGTGTTAGCAAAGCAAGGGGTAATTAGGGATCAGTTGTATTGGGCGCAATTGTAATTACAGTGCTAACTTTGAATTAATAGGGAGGCTGCATCTCATGCCTCCTTTTGGGATGCTTGTAACAGTGCCTATCAATATTGTTTTCAATGAAATGTAATGATCTTTTTACTTATGAAAAAAGAAAACCCAGCCGATATTCTGTTAAGCATCAGCATTTCTTATAGCTGCATCAAGTTTCTATTTGCCTTCATTCGGTAGGTATGCAACAGAGTTTCTTTTCCTTGTAGTAATAGAATTTATTTGGGTAACAGAAATATTTTATTAATGGCAGATAGAGGAGAAGATAAATACTCCCATTCCCTGAGGTGGGCTGAAGGAGCAAAAGGGCCTGCACAACACTAGAGCAGAAAATCCAAAATATAGATGAAAACTATCCAGGATGGAATGTACAATGCGTCTCACTCTATACCTATCTCCTTTCTAGGCAAACTATTCATTTGGACCTCAAAAATAATTGAAAATAGATTACTCTGGACACAAAGACTCCTACCTTGTTGATGAGATGTCTTTAAACTTTAAACTCCAACTATCATTAGTCACATAGCCCACATCAAATCACAAACTGAAAGTCGCCTCCACCACAACCTGTTCAAAGCCTAGATATCAGTCCAAGGCTCTGGGATGAAGTCATAATCTCTGCACTATTGTTAGTGCTGGGATTAAAATAAACCAGTACAATCTCTCCACTATGGTGGAGGAGTAGCCACCCAAGAAACCTTATTCTGAAGTGAATCTAAGTATAGAGAATGCTCCCTTGTAAAATATGTTTGTGGGTGACAAATCCAAAAGCCCATCCATTATCCACCCAAAAAAGAACAGAATAATCCAATTCCTAAGATAGAACACCACCGCATTGTCATCAAGAAAATCCAGTTTAAGTTTGGAATGCAGTTTTAAAGCCTTTTATCAGAAATAGCCCCATCCTACAGCATGATTTCCTTACAGAACCTACAATCTTGGACTTACAGTTGAATCCTTTTTTTTTTTCATTCTCAATAACTCTCTTAACCAAGCACAGATTGCATACAACACACTGGCGGATTTCTCTAGTGAGCATATGAACATACTGACTCGCCTTCTTTTTGTCTTTTCATCAAACCAACCTCCTAGGTCCAGATAGTGAGGAAGTGAGTCAAGCCACAGAGAACTATGAAAGCACCGAACTGAGTGAGGACCCAACAAAAGGGGAAGATGGCGGAGCAGCTAACAAAGTAGAAGAGCTCCAGAGGGATGGAGAAGTAAGCGAGAGCAATGAGAAAGTCACAGACCTTCTGACATTGGAGAATGTTGTCGACGGTCCAGAGAGCCTTCACACAGGAAATAGGTTCAAATCACAGAGAAGGAGAGAGATGAGGGGAAAGAGTTCAAGAGAGAGGGAGGAAGGGGAAAAAGAGGGAGAGAGATATTGAGAGAGTAGGAAGAAAGACGGAGAAGGAAGAGAGATAGCAAAGGGGAAAGATGGACAAGTGTGAGTCATGCAAAGAAAAAGACAAATAAATATGAAACGTGTCCTCCCATGCAATAAATGTAAATCTACAGTAATGTACATATCAAAGGGGAAAGCACCCGTTCGAGAAGCCAAGAGAGTTCGAGAGTTTGGTGGTGAGACACGTTCAAATCACTCGCACGTGAAGGCGTTTATCTACTCGCACGAGCAAGGCTTGTTGCTTTCTTTCAAGTTTCAACACTAAACCTGAACTACCACATTCGGAATGATTTCAAGAAACCAGGCAAAATGTTATATATATATGAAGCACCATTATACCTTTATGCACTCTCCTTGAATCGTTACTACTGGTTTCAGAAATATCCCATTACCACCGTCACTAACACCCCCTGACTAAAAGATAAAATGTTTTCTTCTTGTTGTCTCTCACACAAATGTGACATGAAGGAATCCTTACCCCATCTCTTTTAGCCTTTTACCAGTTAGTAACTTCTCAAGTTTTACCTTCTCTAGGTACAACCTTTTTCATCAAACTTTTATTATTTGATTCAAGTAATCATTTGGAATTGCATTGTCAAACTTTAACACTTTATACCAAGACAAAAAATGCATCAACCACTTAGCAGGAAAACTTTCTGGTACTATTGACCAGTTCTTGGGCATAGTTTTTCATCATTTATTTTGTCTGGAAGAACAAAGTACTGCAATTCAACAAAATACTTTAAAATCTTCTAGTGAAATGAGAGATTGTTATCTCAGGAGAAATATATGTTGTTTCCAAATTCTAATTTATACATCAAGAAAATAGCATGAGAAATCGAGAAGTTTATGACCATTTACAATCTAATTAATATGAATCTTCACATTCTCTTCCTAACCACATGGAATATATTCCTTCATTTTCCAAAGAAAAAGGTGAGAGAACTCTCTAGAATTTTCCTTCCATGAGAACTTCTTAACAACATAAAATTAAAACAGAAAAAGAAAGAAATATAGAGAATAAAATATGAAGGTATTTTCTGGTGGTCATCTAAGCACTGTCACTTAATAGTTGGTGCTGGAAATGAAAGTTGAGCCAGGTCTCTTGGTAAGATTTCAAGAAGTGAACTTGATGTCCTTGGGTTCTTTTTTATCCTGAAACAATTTAGTTCATTGCAATAAATATTTGATTTTGACTAATTGGTTTTCATAATTTTGAAACTTAAAAGCTAAATATATTTGTCAAACTATATTACCATATTCAACGAGGACATGAATGGGCAAGGTGTAGAATGCAAAATTTACACAAAAAAAAATTTAAGTGTGACAAGATATCCTACCACGACACCATCATGCAGGTATCCAGGTGTTGTAGTTGTCAAATGGCGTTACAGGGTGCTACATATTCTGAGCTACCTCCTGGTCATTTGGTTTTATTAAAGGTGGCATGATTGATTGGATCAGTCAACCTATTTGTTGCTTTCTCCAGGATTGGAAGGCAAAACCCAAAATGTTTAATAACTAGTTAGTTTAGGGTTTGGTGTTTGTTCATGGTGTGCCAGTCTGCCCAAACTTGAGCCAACATGGTCTTGGTTCAACATGTGACTTGCATGTCTCAATCTCTGAATAATATGATTAGGCTGGGTATATTCTGGCCTGAAGCGTCACCTTTGTGTCCCATTAATTGAATTTTTCCCTTCTTACCATACATGTGTGTATTTATTCTTACAATCCTTTGCATGCATTTGACCAAAAGCATAAACAGGCATGAATATATATTTGGCATAATTAAAAATATAAAAATTGGACAGGGAGATACCTTTTTTATCATTATGTCTTGATATGCACAAAATAAAAGACTTACAAGAGGAAACAACCAGCAAAGACCATTTCAATATCTTAAGATTGTAGAGATGCTTTCATGCTTGAGATTGATCTTAGTAATTTGGCTTCAGGATCATTGCTGCTGCTAGTATGGTTGAGAAAGAGAGGTCAAGAAGGTTGGGAACTTCCATACTGAATCAAGTGATACATGAGGCATTGGCTTTTAAATCACCTCCAAGGACCAGAGGTGGCAAGAGAGGACGTGTTTATTATAGCACTCAGGTACTTCCGATATGCATCACTGCAACCTTTCATGTGCTGGTAACAATTTAATGTTGAAGTCCGTTTTTTCATAATTGCATACCTCTGTAGTTAAGACGGCTAGACAACACCAAGGTGTTTTGACCCGGCAAGGAGACTAGATGCCTAGATGACAAAAACTAGGTGTTACCTAGGTGACAAAAATCATAATTAAATATGCACATGTTTTATAATATGTATATAATCATATATAAGTATTGTGGAATTTCATGTTAATTATAAACTATTAAATGACATACTGAATTTGTAATGATGAAACCACAATTTACATTTGATTTTCCGAAATAACGACAAGATTTTAATTTTTAAATAATATACTTCCATAAACAAGGAAAAGAGTCCTAATGTTTAGCTGTACATGTACTGCATTCTTATCAACAGAAATGGGTTACACACTTGTATCAATATATGGAAAGGGGTATAATTAGTTATTTGGCTCCTAGTTGGACACCTAAGCAATCATCACCGAAAACAGTCAGGTGATCACCTGTTCAATTACTAGGCAGTGCTTTAACTACATTACAGTGTACATTTTCCTTTTCAATAATTTCAAGAATATCTTCACATGCTTGCTTGAGAGAATTCAGTAACAAGGGTATTATGATAAGTCAAATTCTAAGAACCATATTATGGATACAGATATATATTGATAAGAAAAAGGTACAAAATATAAATGCATGGATATGTTAAGAAAGTCAGGTTAGAGGTTTTCTTATGTGTAAATTATCTCAAATGTAAGGAATAACTTTTCCAAATTTAAATGACTATATAATATAATGCAGTAATATTTACTTTAGCCATTATCAGGAAGTATAATGTCTATGGATTATACTTTTCCGACATATAACTGGTTACAGATATTAGTTAAATAACTCAAAATTTAGATTGTGCCAGTAAAAGTGTTAGGAAGTGAAGTCAAGAAATAACAACATCATCATCTAGGCCTTATCTCCAGTATATGGGGTCAGCTGCATCAACCCTGTTTTTCCATTCTGTTCTCTTTAATGTCATATCCATTGTTAAATTATGAAATCTTAAATCATTTATTACTGCTTCGACTTTTGTGCTTTTTGGCCTGCCCCTGGCCCTTCTAGTCCCTTCAACTTGCAAAAAAGTCAAGAAATAAAAAAGCCATTATCCAATGCTGATGCCAGCTATCTGGGGTCTTTGGAGGGGTAGACTGGATAAAGACCTAACCTTCAGAATGTTTTGCACAAAGTTGCCACTCCCAGACTTGAACTTGAATTCTCACACTTGTCAGCCCTATATCTTTGCTTAATACCATTTTAAATGCAATTATACTATGGTAGTCATGGTGACTCTTTCAGAACATTTTCCCCCCATATTGCCTTAAGGGGATAAGGGTAAATGTATTGTATTTATATGACATGCATCAAGACCTATCTATATATCTTTTTGCAGGCAGCTATTCGCCCACCCACATTTGTTTTCTTTGTCAATGATGCAAAGCTTTTCTCCGAGACCTACCGGCGTTACATGGAAAAACAACTGCGTTCAGATGCAGGGTTTTCTGGCACACCAATCAGACTTCTATGGCGTAGCAGAAGAAAAACAGAAAAAGATGGAGGTCAGTTGACAAAGACTCTCTTGGCCTAAAGCTTGTCATTGGTTAATTTCTTCTTATTGCTTCATTTTGGTTGAAACATCAAAGATTAATTTCATACATGGATTCATTTCATTTTATTGGAAGAGGAATATGTTTCCTTGGTTTATGGAATAGGTATATCAGTGGAATCATGGAGGTCCCAAATGTGTTTGCTTCCATATGTGAAGCATGGATTTTGAATATAGTTGTTTTGATAGGGGATAGACAACCTATAAAATTTTACATGGGGAAGGGTAGTGGTTCAAAAGGTCTTAACATGGCAAATGAAACCCTCATTCAGGCAACATTTCAGGAGAGTACCAATGATTGGTAAGATACGTCACTAACATGGACTTGGAAGTAACCTGTGGCTAACGCAGATGCAGGGTTCAAAATATTGTAATGTACCAATGCATACTGTATAATACATTTTGGTTTTTGAACCCACTGAAACACTGTTTACAGGTTAGGGGGTGGCACATGCATATCAATAATTTGGTGACCATGTACAGATGTCTATTATTTGATGGATGGTCTGAAATAACAAAGTTAATCTCTCCCTGTGGCTGAAATAAAGTAGATCTTATTGCAGGAAGGACTGCCAATACAAGCATTCAAAGTCCTCAAGCACAGCGAGACAGAAAAATTCTAGCAGCAACATGAACCAATATTGCCACCTTTTCCTCAACTTAGGCTAGGATGTTGATGGATCATGATTCAGAGATTGTATTCTGCCAACAAAGATGCATGAAAGCTCCACCATCAAATGTGTGGCCCAAAGTATGAAAATTCTGATTATTAATTATGGAGGCTTTGTCCCCATTTTTTGTCTTTGTTGTAATTGATATAATTCCAAAGTTTAGTGGAAATTGCAGTTTTGAACTTCAAGCCCTACTGGTAGTGGCTGGCACGAGTTGTAAATATATCAAATGTTTAATTCATAGAGAACTGAGCACCTATTAAAGACAAAGAAGAGACAGGAAGAGGAAGGATACCAAGTTAATTTGGGAAGGTATTTATAGTTGCTATCTTCATTTTAATCCCTATTAGTTATTTATTCTTTATTTTTGAACCAACCCAGCAGATTAAATTACAGAAGAAATGGCGATTATGCTGACACAAATGTGGCATTACCAATCTGGTGGCAGCAGGATTTGATACCAGGTCACTGCTACAACGAGTGAGAGATCCTACCAACTGAGCCACCATCAATTGGTTCAGAGAAGGTAGAGTTAATGCTTGCAATTAGGGATGGGACTATGGGAGTGTGACATTATAGTTAGTTTTTAAGCAGTACAATTGAGTCCATTCAAGCACAGTTAACCAAGTTTGGTAGATTGAGCTTGCAATAGAATATTGGGATTTTTGGACTGCAATCACCTAAGGGTGGACTGAATCATAAAAACCCCTAGAATGTTCCATCTTTCCACCCAGATTTTCCAATCCCCAAAGATATATCCAAATACAGCCCAAGCCCTTTTAAAGATGGTTTTGGAACCCTTTTATTTTTTTGCTTCATGGGGCTACACAATGGGGGTAGCCCATCGCCCTCCCTTAACCCCCAGTGGCAGCGGGATTTGATACCAGGATCAGGATCAGGATCCTACCAACTGAACCACCATCAGTTGGTGAAACCCTAAACAGTAAATTAAACGCCATATTTGTACACTAGTTACTACAAAGTCCAACCTGAGGTCATAATAGCCCAACCGATCCCATTCAATGTTCAGATGGAGTCGGTTTAAGTCAGGTCCGGCCTAGTTGCATCCTAGTAATTTGTATGTGCGAGTTTGGGGCTTTTGGGAAACTAAGCAACGAGTCCGGATACGCTTTGAACAAATGATGTAAACCAATGCTGTGTTGTGTGTATCAGCATGGGCCTTCCTTAAACATGAGACTCCAAGTTCCTACAATCCCAACAGATGAAATACTGATTGCTGAATGCTGATAGGCAGCACAACCTTTGGCTTACAGCGTTTTCCTAAGCAATTGCAAAATATTGGTTATGTTTATGAAGATAGAAGATGATATTATGCTCTCTAGGGTAACAGGTTTGAAAACCTGTTGGCTGTTGCATGATCTTTACACGTCACAGCTGAATGGGATTATAAGGTTGAAAAGGTGAAATACACAGTGCGATATACATGGCTGACATGTACAAAGACTCCAGAGATTGCTAGTCCACATGATTCCTTTGTAGAGAGAGAGAGAGAACTTTTTGTTTTCTTCACACTTCATATAATGGAGGGCACATGAGTTGAATCTTAATGGTGGCTTCGAAGAGTTCGCAAGCCTTGCGTACGTATGGCTAGCATTCAGTTGGACAAAGGGACCACCTCACAACATTTTCCATTTTCACGAGCCTTAATTCACATGTTTTCCTGACATTTTCAACCTGATTCTCGCGATACCCATTAGCTTTATCCTGATATTATCACACATTCATGTGACGAATCAGAGAGAGAGAGAGAGAGAGGCTAAGGCCTAAGGGTAAAACATTTTGCATATTTTTTGGGCTAACTTGAAACGAACATAATAAAGCATATTCACATAGGGTTGATTTTTTTGGTCCAGATGATTATTCGAGAGTTAGAATTAGGAGAGAGAAATCTCATATTCTTACACGTGGCAAGTTTTGTGGGTCCCTTGATACAAAAAAGCGGAGATACCTTTTTCCATTCCTGATTTGATACAACTGCATCCTCTTCTGAGTTCTGACTTCTAATTCGCCTAGTTTGAAATAATTCACAAGTCACGTGTAGCAAGGACAGTGAAACGTGAAGAGATATGTATCAGGAACCACCAATCCCTACTCTGCCTTTATATAGCTAATTCTACTAGGTGGGACCGGTTAGATGGATCACATCTCAAGACCCTACTTATGTAGCCACATGTCCTCCACAAGGGCCCTTCATAATTTGGCATAAATTTTCTCATTTATGCTTAAAACAAGATGCGCACCATGTCATGTACATGTGGATGATGCACATCAAACACCATATGATCATACAAGATGAAGATGAAAATAAAGATAGCAAATATTTCATTATTCATCATACAACAGCTGGATACATACATACATATATATAACCAAAGTCTCAAGATTTCCAACGCATTCTCCAACGGTTACATGTGCTTGAAAAGGCTTTTTCAGACCGTGACAACAATTAAACCAAACTGCACTCTTACTCACTACATAACCCGCGCCCTTCACACACCATTTGTGTACTCTCCCATCTCCCCCACCTATACTCTCTCTCTCTCTCTCTCTCTCTCTCTCTCTCTCTCTCCAACTCTCTAATCCAAATCCAACATGGAAAGTTGCAGGAAAGGTCCATTGAAGCCATGGAAGAAAGGTCCCACAAGGGGCAAAGGTGGCCCTCAGAACGCGTCTTGTGAGTACCGTGGTGTTAGACAAAGAACTTGGGGCAAATGGGTTGCAGAGATCAGAGAGCCCAAGAAGAGAACCAGACTTTGGTTGGGTTCATTCTCAACAGCCGAAGAGGCTGCCATGGCCTACGACGAAGCTGCAAGGAGGTTGTATGGTCCCGAAGCTTACCTTAACCTACCACACCTTCAACCCAACTCCAGTCCTAATAAACCCAACCAATTTAAATGGTTTCCATCAAAGAATTTCATTTCCATGTTTCCTTCGTGTGACTTACTTAATATAAACGCGCAACACAATGTTCATGCCATTCATCAAAGGCTACAAGAACTCAAGAGAAATTCTTCTTCTCTTAATCAACTACCACCCTCTTCCTCATCTTCATCTTCTTTTGACTCGAATTCTGAATTTTTTATCACAGAAGACAAATGCTACATAGAAAACTCACTAGCTAAGCAAGAAGAGGCCATGCTTTCATCCGAGCAGTTGTTAGGGGGTCGTGAAGAGAAGCCTCAGATTGATCTACACGAGTTTCTTCAGCAATTGGGTATACTAAAAGAAGGTAGTGGATCAGAAGGTGGCGACACCCTGGGAAGCTTTCCACTGCCGGAATCTTTGCTTGAAGACGATGGGCTAACAGCTTTTGGAGAGCAGACTTTCAATTGGGGTTCACTGGTCGATATACATGGATTAGAGGGTAATCAAGGAGCTGTAAACAGTGGCATACAGGTTGATATACACGAAGAGTTGACCTTCCCCAGTTCTATTTGGAACTTTTGAAGTGCCAGCTAATTTTGGTGTAGTAATTTCTAGTTTTAAGCTTTTGGTGGATAGAATTCATAGGGAGAAAAAGGACAAAAGAAAAGTAATTGGCCAACCTTTATTCTTAGAGTGTGTCAGTTTCTGTTGAATGAAACTAAGACAGGACTAGACTGTCATCGCTAATGGTTCTATACATGCTGGATAGTTGTAAAGATTCAGTCATACTGGTTCTAAGGAAAGCAAAAGACTGATACTGGTTGTAGAGGTTCTAATTTCTTAAGCCCATGGGATTCCAGGCTTAGGAATAGGATCTCCCAGGTTTCAGCTATTATTTTACGTGTCACCGACTCTGACAAGGAGAGATAGTGAGATAGTGTGTTTATGTGTGTGTGTGCAGCGTGCCTGTTTCCCAGTATAATGTTTGACTCAATGCAAGACTCGGTGACAGTTTGGAAAGGCTTTCCCGCAAGGGGTTTTAACCGTTCAGTCCATCCCTAGAAATCTAGAGCTCCACTCGAGAGGTGAACTGAATCCTAACCGTGGATTGATGCCAAATCCATGAACAGATGCAGTTTATGGGAGGGGGGGCTACTAGTAGACTAGGAGGGGGCTGCAATTCAAATTTCTGAGGGGAATTGCAGTCCAAAAATCCCTTCCTGCAATGGCTTCTGCCTTTCTGGATGAACGTGGTCAATAATGTATTGTGGTCAGCAAATCCGAACTCCTTTTTAATAGTTCTTCAAAGAGGTATAGTCAACACAGCTCAATCAAAGCTGAAGCCCTCCCAAACAAGTTATCAGTCTATTTATTAGGTTTTAATCACTGCTTTTCCACTTCTAGTAGTACAACAAAAGTGGAAACAGGCAAACAGCTATTAAACTAGGATGAGACCCGGGTACCCAGAGGAGACACCATCTCCTCGGGAGAAAAAAAAAATTAAACTGAAGAACCACAAATCAGATCCGGGTGCTCGGAGTCATGTTGAGTTTTAGGCATCCATTCCTGAAAACGCTTCTTCCATCTCTCCGAGACTGAACACCCAGAAAAAAAAAAGCAACCTTTGGACTCTTACTTTTTGTATGTGCTGGTTTTGTTTGACTCTCAGGTAACAGAGCTTGCACCGAGAACTGAGAAGTTTTTCATTTCGTTTCTCGCTTGTGAATTTGGATTTGCTCCTCATGGATCGCTCCTCACACCATCCTCGCAATACATTGGAGCTGTGCATTGCCCCGTGAATAATACAATACATATACAGTAGTAGATGTTCCCAAAGCACGGCTGAATGTGCTGTGAGGTTGGTGTTAGGAGCAAATCCGGTCTCCTCCCTGTCCCCTTTCCTTGATATAGAATGTTCAAATCTTTAGACAGCCAGCTGGGCGGGAAATGGTCCAAAAGTCAAGTGGGTTGATTAACCTAGCCCTCTAACCAAGAACCATCTCTCATGGAGGATCATAGAAATTATGGCAAAAGTGGAAGATAGATGGAAAAGTGTGTTTGATTGGACAGTTGCTTTGTGCTAAGATAGCAACTTATAGAACAAAGCTAATCCAATTATTGAGTCTGCAAACAGCCAAACACATAAAAAATATGGGCATCAAATAATTAGACAGAGAGCACCGAATTCCTAAACCTTGTAGAATAAGATCTAATCCTGAATATAAATGTAATAACTTAGCATAGTGTCGATCAACAAAGGATCCCAGTTTTGTCATTTTTTATTGGTTGAAGCACTTGAAAAATATTTCCATGAAACTCAGAATGAGACCAACGTTGTTTATATGTTATGACCCTCTCCTTTTCTTTTCCTGTTCAGAAATGCAGATAATCACCATAAAGTTCTTTCCGGATGCTATGGCAAAATGGAATTCGGCAGGCTCACCTTGGTGTATATCCATGATGAAAACAGAGCCCAATATGTGGAGCTAGTCTGACCAACAACTGACCAAGTGAACATATGAAGGCCTTCCTGAGTAGTAAATAGAATACAAGGTCAGTCTAGTAACATCATCAAGTCATGTGTGGTGCTGGCTCATTCATTCCTGTACTCTGATGCACTCAAATACTCGCCATGCTCCTCAAAATACTCAATCAAACGCTTCAAGAACCCATCACCACACACAGTTTCAGTATCACAGACAAGACAACATTGTCTCCTTGCTCGTGTTACAGCCACATTCATTCGCCTATGGTCACTTAGAAACCCAACCTGCATTTCAAGTGGAAATTCAAGATTTATTGTGGTCATGCGATATTACTTCAATAAAAATTTCAAATCTGGTACCTACATATAACTACCTCTTTCTTTGAGTTTGATCGGACCATGGATATAATAATTGCTTCTTTTTCCCGACCTTGAAAGCCATCAACAGTAGAGATTTCCATCTCCCTTAGCTTATTCTCTTTGCTCCTCAGCATTTTCAACAAGACAACCTATAGGACAACATTGCACAATCCTAGACTAGTTTGCATTAAGAATGAAAGAGGATACACTAATTGGTATGGTGTTGGCATGCATAAACAAGGAAAAACGGTTATTATTTTGAACAAGAGATGTTTTAAAATCTATCTGGTTTAAGATTCCTTTCCATTCTTCATAATTTCATGATTACTTGCAAAGATCCTCATTATTGTCAAAGATCTTTGCTTATTCTTGTTTTCCTTATCTTAAATCTTCTCAGCAAATAAGATACCAAAAAATAAAGTAAATAAGGTGGGTTTTGAACCTGTGCAGCATAAGGGGTGATAATTCCAATATCAGAAGATCGGACCCCACTCTCAACAAGTCTTTTAGCATGAGCTATAGCAACCTCAGCCTCACCCTCATTCATTGTGCTGTCCTCCTCATCCTTTTTCTCTTCCATGTCACACCTGAAACAAATTGGATCAGACCAAGTGCTCAATTTAACTCAACTATGCCTTGTCCCCACTATATGGGGTCAATTAAACAATCGTGTTGTGCCATTTCAAATTGGATAAAACAAAGTAAAAGAACTTGATAACCACGTACACCTCCTATACATTGTACATGTGTCAGTGAAATCCGGCAGTTACCAAGTAGGATCTAGACCAACATAAGCACATCATCAAGCTACCTACCCAGCTATGTCCACAAGAAGAAGTGAGGGTTCTGTTGAAGATGTCCTCTTTACATCCTCAAGATCATAAAGCATATGTGAAGCAACACTTGAATGGGCTTTAATCTGTAAAGAATACAGATCACTACAATTTAAACCATAATGTACTATGTAAACTGATTACTCATAATATAAGATGTAGCATTTGCTGATGAGCTAACATATGGACATGCGGGCACCTTACTATCATATAGTTCTTTGGACGACCAATCCATAATAAGTTCATGCATGCGGTACTGAACAGTGAGCATAGATGTGACTTCATCTCCATACAGGTCTGCAAGGCGCTCAAAAAGGGTTCTTCCCAAGCCTTTCCTCTCAGCTTCAACACTCTGTATGGTTGGAGGAAGCTGAAGATGATCTCCTGCAAGTATACATCTTGAACCCTGAAAAGTGCATTTGCTGAACTTTTACCATTTAAGTCTGCACCCCCTGAATAGATACACATCTCATATGCTACTAGACATGTGTCTAATGTATGTTTGTATAACAAATGGGTTCTTCTATTTATCAATTCAAGAAAGCCTTCTCCCAACTATTTTAGACCAGTTACACATTCTTCCTTTTTGTCAATTACAGTCAAGTATGTTAAAAAAGGAAAAGAAAAGCAAGACATTTTGAAAAGATGTGCTGGCCCACATGCCCCAAGGGAATGTGTGGTTAAAGGACTCCCAAACTTCAGAATGAGCAAAATCACAATATAATACTAGCACCACAAACTCAAAGTTGAATGACTCCCCTTACAGCAATTAATTATCTTTTACTGTTGCTCATAAAGGAAAAAAGAGTTACATGATCTCTAGTACTGACATGAAAATGTTGGATTTTTGGCAAAATATGTAAAGGTATATACTATTACCAAGATGACATTTGGATTTGGCAATGTCAACAGCAGGAGGATATGAAATACACAGAGGAGTGGGTCTAGCATGTTCCAAATGCAAAGTTAGCATTACAATAGATCCTCTAAGAAGGAGATTCCACCAAACCTTAGCGAAGCACAGAGCATGCATCAAAGAACAACTACTGCACTAGAAGGGAGTAATTATGTCCAACTGATGGGGCTAGAAGGGCAATGCGACCAAATGATAAAATTATGCAGAGCATCTTCAAAAGAAAAGGCCTAACTGGTGTATATGTCCTAACATGCGTTTTGGGAAACTACCTTACACACATGTGGGTAGTCTACCTTACACTTACTAATCTCCTATCCATTTGTATTTTTTGCATTACTTGTTGCAAGTGGATCTCTCCAATAGGTAGCCTATTCCAGCCTTTCTTTTTCTCCCTGCCAAGAAAAAGGGGTAAAATACCATAGCATCTATGGACAACTTAGGAGGAAAGAAATGCAAGAATCTTTAAAGAAAAGAACCAAACTGAGAAAACATTGATGAAGGCTATTATGGTGAGGGTGGGATATTGGGTAAAATCTATGCCTAGCTTTTACTTATTTCTCCAAACTCCAATATCACAAGGAGTTGGCAAGTTAATGCTGACTCTTCTACAAGAGTACAAGTAGTCACTCCATGGATGCCTCCTAAACATCCTTTCATCAAGATGAGCTTTGATGGCTGCAGTTCATGTAACCCATGTAACCCAGGGATTGAGGGAGTATTTAGGAGCTGCAATAATAGCAGTTGAAGGAAGTTAGGCTGATGTAGAAATAATACAGTGAGAATGGGTCAAACCTTGGAAATATAGGTATCTCATGAATATTATGGTAGAGGATGATTCAAAAGTAGCATTAGGCCGATGTAGAAATAATACAGTGAGAACTTGGAAATATAGGTATCTCATGCAGGAAGTTAGAAAATTGGCAGCTGAACTGAATGTAAGGTTCCATTGAAACTTAGATGTGCCAATAGTATGGCTTACTCCTTGGCCAGACAAGTATGAGGACCAACTATTTTTGGGAGCGGTTCCATTGGGGGATTAATTGTAAAACTAGAGGGGTAGGTAAGTAATAAAGCTAATCTACGACAAGTGGTACATGGCACATCATATTTGTACACTGTTCTTAACATATTAATAAAATACCTGATTGTTATTGATAAAGAAAAAAGTACAGTGAGTCATGGTGATTTAATCTGTCACATAGGAATGTGTAAATCTTGTTTGCATATTTGACCACACTTAAATTTCTATTTTTATTTATAGATAATGTAATTTCTCTTTTTTTTTGAGAAAGGTAACAATTTTTTTTATAATGGGTCTTTTACTTTTCCCTATAGTGAAGACCCAAAATTCAGCAATCAGTAATAGGACAGGGATAGGATTCCAATCATGATTAAAGAGAAGACGTGATCATAGGTGAAGTTGAATGGAAGAACAGGATTCATGTGATTAACTGCAACTTGTTGAGATTAGGGGTGCAAATGAGTTTAGCCAAGCCAAATTTTGACATGTCTTGGCTTGGCTTGACTAAAAATACTACTAGGTTCTAGTTCAAGTTCGAGTTAGATTCAAACTATTTTCCACTTCGAGCTTGGTTCGATTAAATATTTGATTATTTTGAGTTCAGCTTGAAAGCCCAAAAAGGAATATATTTTTATATTTTATAAATATATATGATATATTAATATTAAAAATCGAGCCAGGCTTGCGAGCTTTCAACCCAATATTTTATTGGTCGAGCTCGAGTTCGAATAACTAATTGAGCTTACCTTGAGATTCGCACTCAATTAGAATCGAACTCAAGCCCGAACTATTCAATTAGAACTCGATACAATTGCACCCCTAGTTGATATGTAGCTATTTCTTCTTTTGGATAATATAATATGAATTTGCAATGTTAGTGATTGATAGATTTCAATAAACTTCTTCTCCCATCCTCTGACAACGACAGATTTCAACTTACAAGTGTAGAGATAATATGGATTAAAGAATCAGATTGCTTTAAGTTATTCAAAAGAAGAGGAAATTAAGGTTACCAAATTTCAATTGTGACAATTCAAATACTCCCATTTAGCCATACACAGATATGTTTTTATACATACGTAGATACATGAGTATGTGTGCATATGAGTCTACATACATAAAAAGTATACATCCAAAGGAATGCATATACCTTCAGCAATGCCATCCAGCATGCTATCTCTAGTGCCTGGGCAGCTTCATCAATAATCACCAAATCAAATGAAGTGTTCTCAAGATTTCGAGAAAATGCACCAGTCAAAGTTGTCAGTACCACTTCTGCATTTTTTATTACATCTGTGACTGCTAGTTGCTGCCTTTTTTGCTCTTCTTTGGAAAGAGCTTTGAGCTCCCTCCTGATGTCCCTCTTTGTATTTTTATCCTTTGCCTTCAACAGTTTTCCATTCAAAGCCTAATAAAATGAAACAGGAAAAAACATTCAAGCAGAAACTGTGTAAGGAAGACTCTTCAGATGATATGATTATATATGTAAGTACTAGCAAATGTGCACGTGCTTTGCATGTCTCAATTTTTTAGATGATGATGATGGTAATAATGTGTCCAAATGCTATTTTTTTATGTGTAAAAATAATCGTTATTACCACACTTGTTTTTCTTTAATTTGATGAATATATAATATTAGAGATGTGCCCAAATGTTCTCTAAAAAATTTTTATATTTTTGTTTTTTTTTGTTTTTTCTTTTATTATTTAATTATGACATCAAGAGTTGACACATTTGACCCCAAAAGTTGAACTGTTGACCTGCCAATTTCATTTTTGGGACCATTTTAAAATTTTCATTGTATTTAGTAGTCAATCAAGACTACAATCCGTCTTGAATTCGAAAAGAAAAAGAAAAGATTTCAGAAGAAAAGAAGAAGAAGAGAGGGAGAAAAGTAGAAGCACACGAAGGGATTTAGAAAAAGAGAGGGTTGATCTTAATGATCTGCCGACCCACTCTTAATATTTATATATGTTGACTAATTGTAAAAGGGCTGAATTGCCCTTATTGCTTACATGGCAAATAAACTAATAATAAAGCTGTAACAACAAACTGAAATAACTACCAACTAACACTGATATAATTAACAAAACATATGCTATGCTGCCATACGAACACAGTGGGGTCCACATCAGTGTTCTCTACACTCCCCTTCAAGTTGGGAATAGATATTTGTCATTCCCAACTTGCATAGGTCTGCCTCTAATTTCTTCCTTGGAACAGCCTTGGTGAGAAGATCTGCAAGCTGCATGCTGGAGGCGATATACAGGAGACACACTTCTTGAGACGAAACCCTTTCTCTGACAAAATGTCGGTCAACTTCGATATGCTTAGTTTTGTCATGCTGTACCGGATTATGAGCTATATTAATAGCAGCCTGATTGTCACAATACAACATTAAGGGCTTCTCATAAGCAATACCCAACTCCTCAAATAATGACTTCAGCCATAGGATTTCAGCCACACCACTAGCCATGGATCTATATTCAGCTTCAGCACTAGAACGAGAAACAACACTTTGTTTCTTACTCCTCCAGGAGACAAGGTTACCTCCTACAAAGGCACAATATCTAGAGGTAGACCTTCTGTCATCAACACTCCCAGCCCAATCAGCATCTGTATAGACCTCTATATTCATGTGATCATTATTCTTGAATAATATACCTCTACCTGGACATCTCTTCAAGTATGCTAATATTCTCTCAACTGTAAGGAGGTGAGTAGTTCTAGGAGAGTGGATATATTGACTGACAACGCTGACTGCATAACTGATGTCCTGCCGTGTGAGACAAAGATAGAAGAGTTTCCCAACCAACCGTTGGAACATAGCTTTGTCTTCAAGAGGCTCTCCACCCTCTGCACTGATCTTGTGATTCTGTTCAATAGGTGTATCTACAGGCTT